CTAATAACATGTTCAAGTTAAATAGGTATCGGCAGTGTTAACTCCAAAACAGGAAATACGAAGAATTAGCTGTCGTGGTTCACGTTGTCCAAACAGGGAGAACTTGGTTATTTCACATTGGTGTTTGGCAAAACATGACTAAGAGTATTGTACAAAGAGTTGTACGAACGTGCACAGTCAAAGTTCTGCTCGTTAAACCTTTTGTTTGGTAACGCTGTCGCGGTTTGCTTAATCTCCCTAATTAACCAAGCTAGCTCGGGACCATACTGGGAGAGAATCGTTTGTTTTCTTTCTTTTACGGACGTTGTTAATTCATAACGTCAATACTTATATCCAATATTCTGAATAATACTGTTCTGAGGGTTTTACTAAGATCAAATCTCCCCCCAGTGAAAATCAATAAAATCAATCCTAACTAGTTGAAAGTTAAAATTCATATAAATATCCGTTGTCGAGTTCCAGGGAAGGGGATTCTCGCTATAATGGTCTATACTGGGAGGCTCCGCTTTAAAGGGGTACCTTTTTCGGGCTTCAGGTATATCAAAGGATACGAATTTCACAAGTTGACGTACGTGAAAGGGTAGGGATATCTGTCATCTTCACTCNGCTTTAAAGGGGTACCTTTTTCGGGCTTCAGGTATATCAAAGGATACGAATTTCACAAGTTGACGTACGTGAAAGGGTAGGGATATCTGTCATCTTCACTCCCGCCACAACGTGAACTGAAAAAATAATATGTTTCTTGGATTCACATATCTTGTGGTAATGCTTGATGTTCTCCCGTGGTATTGTTCATTGACTTCATGTCGAGGGTTTACAAAAATGTATTTTCTCACGTTTAGGAATGCACGCTTCATTAGTGCGGATGCGTTGCATATACATTGGTAGTTATTGTGTGAGTTATTATAAGGTGTTTTTTGCAGTTTCAAGGTCACTTGACGGCATCTTTCGCTACCGTTCTGTTGATTTTCCCGTGTCCGTTATCCCTTTACCTCTGCCTATTGCTTTAATTTTCAGATAAGCTATTGTAGATATTTGAGAGTTTGTAAGTAGTTTTGCGTCCTCGCTGATTTGTAAAGCGATTATTCCTGCACTTTACCCGTGTAGCTATCAATAAACGACATGACTATTCCTGATTCTTGTCTGCGTTCATTGTATCTAGCGTGAATATGATTTGTTCTCGTTTTACTGCAGTGATTAGAGAACAAGATGCAGCATTCTTCAGTGGGGATATGAAAGGGCGACCTTTTTGAATTAAAGGAATACTACAGGGGTACCTTTTCTGCGAAAATGGAATACAAAAGGTAACGAGTTAGACTTCGGGGTGGCGCCTTCCCAAATAAAGCTTTGGAGAGTGCATCCCCCTTACCCTCACTGGCGAGGGAGGGGGGAGAGGCGAGCTTGTTTCAGTTGTAAAGTAACTGAACAATATGAAGTTACAAAACTTGTGAACACCATGCAAGGAAATCAATATTAGGATTTTCATCCGTACTTCCTTGTCGTGTTAGATAACAGCACGTTAGAAACAAAAAACAACAAAACAGGAGACAAAAGGAATACAAGAGCGAGCAAGAGAACAAACAGGCCTTAAAAATTTCTGTGTAACGCTTGGCCGTAGACGATCTGAGTTTGCTCACGATCCCTATTCAAAATTGTAAGAATAGAACAGCTTCTTGCTACACCAGCGTGTAACTTGCCAAAAATCTTTTTGCTGATGATCAGTGCCTTCTAGTGGTATTCTTTTGCTTCACTATAATTTCCAAGATACTGATAAAAACCTCCCAAGTTGTCATAGCTTCCTGCGACATTAGCACGTTCCTCCTCAAAAATCTTTTTCCTGATGACCAGTGCCTTCTCGTGATATTCTTTGGCTTCATTGAACTGTCCAAGAGCTTGATAAACATTTCCCAAGTTGTTATAGCTTCCTGCGACATTAGCATGTTCCTCGCCGAAAATGCTTTTCCTGATGATCAGTGCCTTCTCGTGATATTCTTTTGCTTCGTCGTACTGTCCAAGAGACTGATAAAGATTTCCCAAGTTGTCATAACTTGATCCGACATCACCATGCTCCTCCCTGAAAATCTTTTTCCTGATGATCAGTGCCTTCTCATGATATTCTTTTGCTTCGTTGTACTGTCCAAGAGACTGATAAAGATTTCCCAAGTTGTTATAACTTGTTCCGACATCATCATGCTCCTCCCCGAAAATCTTTTTCCTGATGACCAGTGCCTTCTCGTGATATTCTTTGACTTCATTGTACTGTCCAAGAGCTTGATAAACATTTCCCAAGTTGTTATAGCTTCCTGCGACATTAGCATGTTCCTCGCCGAAAATGCTTTTCCTGATGATCAGTGCCTTCTCGTGATATTCTTTTGCTTCGTCGTACTGTCCAAGAGACTGATAAAGATTTCCCAAGTTGTCATAACTTGATCCCATATCACCGTGCTCCTCCCCGAAAATCTTTTTCCTGATGATTAGTGCCTTTTCGTGATATTTTTTGGCTTCATTGTACTGTCCAAGAGCTTGACAAAAATTTCCCAAGTTGTTGTAACTTCCTGCGACATAAGCACGTTCCTCGCCGAAAATCTTTTTCCCGATGATCAGTGCGTTCTCGTAATATTCTTTGGCTTCATTGTACTGTCCAAGAGCTTGATTAACTCTTCCCAAGTTGTTATAGCTTCCTCCGACATTAGCATGCTCCTCGCCAAAAATCTTTTTCCTGATGATCAGTGCCTTCTCGTAGTACTCTTTTGCTTCATTGTACTGTCCAAGAGCTTGATAAACATTTCCCAAGTTGTTATGGCTTTCTGCGACATAAGCATGTTCCTCGCGTAAAATCTTTTTCCTGATGATCAGTGCCTTTTCGTGATATTTTTTGGCTTCACTGTACTGTCCAAAAGCTTGATAAACATTTCCCAAGTCGTTATGAATTGTTGCGACATGATCATGCTCCTCCCCCAAAGTCTTTTTCATGATGATCAGTGCCTTCTCTTGATAATCTTTGGCTTCATTGTACTGTCCAAGAGCTAGATAAACACTTCCCAAGTTGTTATAACTCGCTGCGATTTTAGCATGTTCCTCGCCGAAAATCGCTTTCCTGATGACCAGTGCTTTCTCGTTATATTCTTTTGCTTTATTATACTGTTCAAGACAGTGATAAACACGTCCCAAGTTATTATAACTCCCTGCGACTTTAGCATGTTCCTTGCCGAAAATCGTTTTTCTGATAGCCAGTGCTTTCTCGTGATATTCTTTCGCTTCATTGTACTGTCCAAGAGCTTGATAAACTCTTCCCAAGTTGTTACAACTTGTTGCGACACGATCATGCTCCTCCCCGAAAATCTTTTTCCTGATGATCAATGCCTTCTTGAGGTATTCTTTTGCTTCGCTGTACTGTCCAAGAGCTTGATAAACACTTCCCAAGTTGTTATAACTTGTTGCGACATCGTCATGCTCCTCCCCGAAAATCTTTTTCCTGGTGATCATTGCTCTCTCGTGGTATCCTTTTGCTTCATTGTACTGTCCAAGAGCTTGATAAACACTTCCCAAGTTGTTATAACTTCTCGCGACCTGATCATGCTCCTCTCCGAAAATCTTTTTCTTGATGATCAGTGCCTTCTCGTGATATTCTTTGGCTTTATTGTACTGTCCAAGATCCTGATAAACATTTCCTAAGTTGTTATAACTTGTTCCGACATCACCATGCTCCTCCCCGAAAATCTCTTTCCTGATGATGAGTGCCTTGTCGTGATATTCTTTGGCTTCATTGTACTGTCCACGAGCTTGATAAACACCTCCCAAGTTGTTATAACTGCCAGCTACCTTCCAATGATGCTCACCGTAATTTGCAGTATAAATCTTGGTAGCCTCCTGAAGGTACCATATTGATGGATTATACTGGCATATCATTGATAATGTTAACCCATGTGTATTAAAGACATTTGCTTTAATTATGTCGTCCTTGAGTGTGATACTTAGATCTTGAACAAAATCACAGGCTGACGTTGAAAATAAAATTGCACTGGATGGATTGCTAAGCTTACAAAACACAGTGGCAGTTGAACAAAGCCACGAAACGACATTGTCAGGAGAAATGAAGGGTG